CGCCAACATGTTTTTTGCCGAGTCTCGCGTGTACATTTTTGATGCCCAGGCGACTGAAAAGTTCCTGAAAAGCGCCGCTATAATTTAATATTAAGGGGGAAAAATAGAAGTGACCAATATGTAGACAGGTGTTGTTGTCAAATTCTAGGTACATACGAATTTTTGGGTCTAGTGAGCCTTGAAAAGCCGAGCAAAATCGAATTTAAAGTGCATAAAATCCAGTCCTATTATGCTCCAGGTCTCGTCGTCGCCGTCAAAGGCCGCCCAGATCTGCTCGGCGGCGAAAACAGAAAAGGTGGGGCGGAGTCCGAAGAAGTCCGCCTCATCTGACCCGAGGAGTCCTCAGAAGAGCTTCAAAAACTCAAACCAACTACCGCTGGTCCATCAGCCAATGTCTTTATGTGATGCGTCTATCCCGAAAATTGATGATGTCCCTGAGATTGCCGAGATACATTGCTAAAGCTTTTTGCTTTGGATTTAATAAACAAACTAAATAAATTGGTTTATTTGTTGTAAGGCTTGGATTATTTCTACTTTGTTCTTTTATCTGTCATTAACGGGCCGGCCAAGGCATTCCTATGTATTTTGTTCGCCAACGACTCTATAGAGTTCGCGGCATCCGCGACACGCAACGCATGACATTTTGGGGCGACCGCGACGCGCAATACGACTCTATCGCCACTCTTGTCAGTATAATCCATAGCCCTGCCATGTCCAGTCCTTTAAAAAGTACTTAAATTTCTGCCATGCTGCTGGGCACTTTTGTCGATCGCTTCTCGAAATAACCCTGACTTTTTGGCATCAAAAAAGCAGCTTTTGAGCGCTCTAGCTCGAGTATGCAAGATTATTTTTGCTTTTTTGACAGCTTCTGCAGGCCGTTCACATTTTTCACCAGCTTCTAACTAACTTCCGGCACGCGCCAGCAGAAGGATTCCGAGAATTTCCTGTATTTAATGATACGTTCCAGATCAAACCCGTTTTTTTGCCGTTTGCTCGCTGCACATCTAGGATTTCTTTGATTTTGTAACCAGGCCCGCAAAAACAAAACCAAGGTTATTTTTGGTTGCTTCCGAAAAAGCTGATTTTCTTGTCCGATAAGCCAAAAAGCTGGTACGTTTTGAGTTTTCCCCAGGCTTTACAAATATAGTCACATTTTCCTAAAATAGCTTATTGCCCTGAGAATGTAAAATTGCGTATTTGTGCTAATCACGCTTTGTTTCCATTTGCAGCAAAACGACGAAATTCAGATCGCTAATTTTTTTAGCAATTTCGAGAACCAATCCCCTTTCTTGCCCTCAGGTTCAAAAACCATCCTTTCAAAAGGTGTTGATGATGTAAAAAAAGCAACATCATTTTACGATTGGCCCCATTGAAGGGATTGTTTTTTGGCAGCACCGTAGTAAGGCTTAGAAAGCGCTTCCGGCCATTTCTCTAGCTGGCACCTGCCCGGGCGTAAAAAGTGGCGTGTGCACACCTGCCAAACTCAATTAGCTCGAGTTTTTGAGGTTTTGCCAATAGGTTGAGGCAAAAAACCGGAAGGCTGGACTTTGGTTTGGCCTTTATCCGGCTACAGAATAGTCTCAAAGGCTCTAAAAACACGCTTTTGAAGGCAAGGATTCATAGTGTCTATGGAGTCTAGTTTCTGCTTGTCATAACCTAGTAGCTTATAAAGTATTACGAGTTTTGCTCCAAAAGCCATAAAAACGCCAAAGTGCGTTGTCATAAAATAACAGAGTAGCATCGTCTGGGTTAATTTTCGCCTAATTTTGATCTATTTTATGAGTTGCATGCAATCGTGGTGAGATATAAATACTACGATATTCTTTTGGAGACTTATTGCTTGGCAAAACTTTAACTGGAAAAAATTTTTTTTTTAAAAGATCCAATATAGTAGTAGTATCCAGTAAAGTCAGTATATCTACTGCCGTTGCCTGCCAATTTTATTATGCGATCGGTCGCCTTTCATGTAACGTGCGATAAATCATTACCTGGAAAAGCTATTACCGAGAATATGATATAAAGCAGGCAAATTGACTAGAATTGGTTTTCTCACGTCACACAATCGTAATTTACTTCTTTACTTGCCTCTTTGACGTTTGAGTCGGCTTCTGGTGTCGAGGTATCTAATCCCTCTGGCTCTAATTCTTTGACCTCGTGCGTCCGCTTCTTTCATTTGCTTTTTTGCTTTTTGACTGCCTTGTCATGTCAATTGTCCGAATTGCAATGTGTCAAAATGCGCCGCAAAACCCAAAAAAAATTCCTGGGCGTGTAAATTACCCTGAATTTTTTGGAATAATAAATTGACTAGTAAAAACCCGAGTTCTAGCGAATTTTGTGGCTTGTACCACAGAAACGGATCTATTTTTCAAATTTGCAGGTATTTTTCTAGTCCCATCAAGTTCAGCTAAACGGCCATATTACACGGGTTTTGCTGTTGTCATGCTTCAGACTAGCCATTAGGCTTGTTGCCGATCATTCATCGCGTCTCACTTTCCGCGTATCAGCTCGTCAAAGTCTGTAATTTGCTGTAATTATAGTCCTGGCTGGATTTCAAATGCTTCCGCTCAGGTTGCGCTTCACCATTTTCTCATTCGTAGGCGAATTCCGGGTGAAACAGAAATATGGGCAGCAGCATGATGATGATCGGCTTCTTGGCGGCGGTTTGCGTCGCGGAATTGTTTGCAGGTAGGAAATTCTTTCTTAAGCAATTTTATAAAAGCGTTGTTAATAATTGGTATGCGTCATTGATTTGGCGGATTTTTTAGGTAGGTAGTGCCGGTTTTCTATCAAAACTTCAAATTTTAAGAATTTTTCTAAATTTTTGAATAGTTTCTTTCGCCTTTTTCATTTTTTTATATAGCAAAAAGCCACACAAATACGTAGCTTTAATGCTAACTTCTTGCAAAACAGCTTTGTTGACAAACAGCGCCCCAATTTTAGCCTCGATTCCGGCGCAGCAGCCTACAAATGAGCTCTATCGCCGGGCGGCCGAGATGAACCCTTTCTCCCGAAAATACTACTCGTTCGCTGAACTTGGCGTTCCTTCAGTCGATGTTCCAAGGAGTTGTAAGTGAAGTTGCAATCTTAAAAACCAAAAATCCCGGAAAATAACAAAATCCGCTGAATTTAATTAACTGCTAGAGATTTGTATAGCTTGAAGCTGTTAATATTAATAAAAAGGTATTGATAAAGCTGATAAAAAAGAATTGAGTAAATAAAAAAGATCTTTCGTCAAAAACTGAAACGGTGCCTCTTATTAGTCCATTACGACAGGAAAAGACGTTAGCAGACGACCCCTGCCTCTTTCGAGGGGGCGCCGAGCGGCGGATTAGCCTCTCCGCTGATAGCGCCCTCTTCCCACCCCGCCACCACCCGGTCCCGTGGTGTAGCGGTTAGCACTCAGGACTCTGAATCCTGCGACGGGAGTTCAAATCTCCCCGGGACCTTCCTTTTTGCTTTTTGGGGAATATGTTTGGCAAGGTTTTACTGATATTCCAACAAACATTTCTGGCTATTTTGATATCGTAATTTAGTCAAATCGAAACCAAAAAGTTGATTTTCACTTTTCTTATTGTTTTTTTTTTTTTTTTTTTTTTTTTAAAAAAAAAAAAAAAAAAAAAAAATTTTTTTTATAAATTTATTTTTAAAATTTTTTTTTTTTTTAAAGAAAATTTTTTTTTTTTAAATATTTTTAAAATTAAATTTAAAAAAAAAAAAAAAATTTTATTTTTTAAAAAAAAATTTTTTTTTTTTTATTTAAAATATAAAAAAATTTTTTTAAAAAAATAATTAAATTTTAATTTTTAAATAAATTAAAATAAAAAATTAAAAAAAAAAAAATATAAAAAAAAAAAATATAAAAAAAAAAATTTATATTAAATAATATAAAAATAAAAAAAAAAATAAAAAAAAATATTATATTTTTTAATTTTTTTAAAAAAAAAATTTAATTTATTTTATTTATTTTTTTATTTAATAGTATCTGAGTTAATCAGCAAAAATGTATAAAGATGCTAATTTCAGCCCCGTATCTCCAGGAAATGTTCCCGGCCCACGTCCGCTCCGCCTACGGCCAGGAGATGCTGCGTCGACTCCAGAAATTGACGCAAGCTTGAAAAACTTCGACTGTTTCTTTTTGATAAATTATGTTGTTCCAGGTACCAAAAAATGCAGTTGTCATTAAATATACTACCCCAAAAAATCAATATTTATTATGCACACGGCGAGTGATGTGAGATCAATGGTTTTGCGAGAAAAATTAAGAAACGAACGACCGGAAACTAATAGTTGGGTGGGGACCGGTAGAGACGAGAGTGATATGAGTTATTGGTGGTAGAAAAGGGGGTATAAAAGTGTGGTGATGAGATCTGGCGGATATTTGGTCTGATAGAAACGACAGAAAAAAGATTTTAAAGGGCAGTTGAAGGGATGTTAAGCGGGGCGCTTTCCAAAATAATCGTAGTTTTTGAGGATTGGCGACGCTTGTCCATCAACGAGTTGTCGTCAAAACCGGAAGTGGTGCTGTTTTTGGAGACTACCTGGAATGAACGGTTTTATCAAAGGTTCTCTGCTAGGTTGTCTGACGGAATCTAAGGCCTTGAAGTCATAAAGAAGCAATCGAAGGGTAGGACCAGTTACCAATACTGTTTTTTTCACATTGACATTTTTTTTGGATGGCATATGGCAATAGGGAATCCGTAGCCAAAATCTAGAGTAGTGCCTTGTCTGTCCCTTTAACAACCTTTGATTAACTCCAATAGCAGTTGAAACGCGGTTTGCCATTTTCAAAACGTCTCCGCTAGCCTGTCTTCGGACTTTCAAGCTATTTCTTGACTTTTCTGCTCCCCCACAATAGACTTAAATGATATTGCCAGCTTCCCAAAGGTCGATCTATTGAGATCTCGAAGTCGAACATAGTTTTTTAGGTAAGAAAGGCTCGAGCCGTACAGAGGCTCAAACGAACCTCCTTGAACAACCCCAGATATTTGATGAGTCGGTCACGATAGATGCGCTGTGTAGCGATCGTAATCACCGGATTCACAATACTCCCACTGACGAGGAGTTTGAACGACACGTCAGTCAGAAGTCGCTGCCACTCGCTCCGGACGCCGACTGAAAAAAGGATTTGACCGGTTCCTTCAAAATCATCCAAAGCGACAAAGAAACCTTGACAGCTTGCCTCCTCCCTCTTAAGTGTTAGCCTAGCCTAAGCTAAGGTCAAGCCATACCGAAGCTAAGTCCAAGCCGAGTCTAAGCCAAGCCTAAGCTAAGCCTCCACCTAAGCCTGAGTCCGAGCTTAACTCTGCGAAATCAAGCAAAGCCTAAGTTAAGCTCATGTTAAGCCCCCGCCAAACCTAAGTTAAGCTTAATTTAGGCCTGATAAGACTAAGCTAAGTGTTCCAAAAACAAAAAAACTTACACATCATATTCACCAAAAAGAGCACCCTGAACGGGACGCAGGTGATGAACGTCCACAATGTTGACGAGAACAGGAAGAAGAGTCGTTGGAAGAGCTTCTGGAATCAAATCTTAAACCAAGACATATACAAATAATGGCTCCAAACAACCTAGGGGACCACTTCAGGTCAAATCAAAGCACACGCCATGCAAATCGAGGGATTTGGGGTAAGTCACTGCACTCTTTAAGATTTACGCTTTTGGGATTGCACTCAAAATTACGGGGGTTAACAAAGCGGTATAGGTATCACTGGGAGAAGCTGCAAACACACGCGGGGGTTGTCGAACCACTGACGGAATGATGTAAAACACAAGCAATTTATGCTGGTTCGGGATGATGCTTTCCTAAGAATTACCTGATCCGGTTTGGCGGGATAGATACTGGCGCGGCCCTGGGAAATGGGAAAGCTCCAGTTAATTGGGTTAGGCGAATTTTTGTCGCAAAATGTTATAGTGTTAATGATATTGTTATATTTATATTTTTAAACGTGAATCAGGCATACCCCATGAAAAAGCGAAAATATTATTTTAAAAAAACTGCAAAAGAATTTGGTGTTAGTAAGCGTTTTAATTGTTATTTAATTCATCTGGAAACTCGATACCTGACTCGATTTAGGTAATACTCAGCTTAAAAGCTGTAAACTTTGTCGAAAGCGTTATTTTGAATCGATTAGTCAATCAATAGTTTTAAACCCGAAAGCCAATCGATTACGCAAGGTAGGTAAAATTTTTAGCATTTGTTGAAGCTGCGCATGTGCAAAAAAACTTACGGTTCGTGCCCGATGCTCCATCCTAGTCGTCGTCTGGGCGATGCAATAGATGATGGCCGAAATGGAGAATGAAGCAACGATCACCACCAGGTAATAGAAGCACATGATGATGTAGAGGGTGTGGTCGTTGAAGGAAATTTCCAAGCAGCTGTTCTGAAAAAGAAAGAATTTGTTTCGTATTAAAGGGGGATGTTGCTGGCCCTTAAAACTATATCGGTAAAAATGATTGAACCAGTTTCCAATTACGATATTAAGGGATTAAAGGTGCTGGGAAGCACATAGCCAAAAACCACTCACCCCAACCCGGAAGAAATAATTCATCAAGCCGATGAAGCTGATCAGAAACATCCACGTTGCAATCGTCAACAATAGGAATTTTTTCCGGCTGACCATCGAATAGTAGTGGAGCGGAAACTGGATGTAGAGAAGCTTGTCAACGTTCAGCCTAAAAAAACGCACTTAAAGGGCTAGTTCAACTTTTAGAGCTTGGGCTGGTACCTTGGGAAACTATGGACGTAGGCACAGTGCGCCCGAACAGTCCCCCATTACGACAGCTATTAGAGATCGGGGAAATGAGAGACGCGCAGACACAAAAACGCAGAGAGGGTTCGACTCCTGGCCGCGGAAATTCTTTTGTTTTATTGGCTGAACTAGCCCTTTAACTAGCTTTAGGAACCTTGAAGATCTGCGTCTAATACCTTCAACGTTTTGTGGAAAATGCCGTAAATTAATTTGAAGCAACGGTAATTCCTTTACTTACCACAACAAATAAATACAACTGCACATTTGGACCAGCCAAATCGCAAAATAGTAAGCACGGCAAGTATCTGCTGGGAAGTACTGTAGGAACGGCCGAGTGACAACGTAGACAAGGCAAAAAGCGAGGTCGGCGAAAGTCATGTTCATGATTAGGATCTAGAAACGAAGAGTTTGTGGATATCACCTATTCTCCTCTCCCCTCTCTCTCTCTCTCTCGCTCTCTTTCTCTCTCTCTCTCCCTCTCTCTCTTTCCCACCTGTCTTGGCTTATCATCCGTGTCAATATGCCGAATAGCAATAAATAAGACGAGGATGTTGAGCAGCGTCCCGCTAACGCCAGAACCGGTGTAGAAAATTAACTAAACGGTCAAAATAAGATCTGGTACCTTATATACTAATTATCAGTTTCGAATACCTATACCGTACCTCTCCAAGCGAAACAGCGTCCGTTCGTGGCGGCGCTACTGTAGTCGGGACAAGATCTTGGTCAAAAAATGACGACGATGGTGATGCTTCGAAAAAGTTTGGAGGATGTGTGGTGTCCATTTTCGCTGAAAACAACAAATTTCGAGTGTTTTCTGGACAATGTTTGAACGGAAACTACATATTTGAAAAAATCATAACAAGAGACGATACAAAAACTTTTAAATCTTGCAGAGCTCTCAGAAATGCGAAAAATTGCATAAAAATTTAGCTTTTAAGCATTCAAGAATAACATAAAAATTTTTAACTAGTATATTTTCGCTTTATTCAAGCCGAATTTGCATCAGTTGAAAAGGTACAGTAGGAAAACCTCAATATCAGCCAAAAAGTATCGCGGAAGTCTTAAAAATCAGAAAAATTGGGGCAAATTCGAATTAAACCCGGCGAATGGCCAATTCTTATGAATAATGCTTCTTGACCTGCAACCGGCCATGTGGCGACGGGCCAAAACATTTTAAAAATTAGCGCTTTTTAGTTCTTGGTTGAGGCACGGTCCGGTAATTCGCTGACGCATTAGCAGCGCTTTAATCGAGAATATTGCATCCGGATTCGGACCGGCGCAGACCGGAAGCTCAAATTTGATTTGGTGGAATGGGCGAGGATCTGGCGGATGGTCTAATGAATCGGGGGTTATTCATAGCTGGATCCGGGGGGTGGAAAATAATTCATCTAAAGCTTAAAGATACGAAAAATCTGTCTTTTAAATTTTAAGCGTATTTAGAGCAGATTTTAGCGCTTAGAAGTGATTTTAGGCTTTTTTCTGCTGAGAGTTTCCCATTGAAAACCGCTGTTTTCGCCAATAAAAGTAAGGATAACATCAGAAATAATATTTAGCGAAAGAGCATAGGTTCCAAAACTGGCCAAAATTACGAGCAAAATATAGTTCAACTAAAAATTCCAGTTAAAAAATCAAATTTGATCAAAACCTTTTAGTCAAAAAACGCAGACTCCGTGAAGATTGCTGTTAGCCTATCTGCGTAGACTTGCAAAATTCGCCTAATGCCAAAAGCACCAAAAATGACAAAAAAACCCGGAAAAACGGCCCAGTCGAGCTAGAAATACCGTTGCCGGAAATGCCAAAATCTGACATCGGGCTCAAGTCAGATTCCCGAACTCGACCCAAAACTGCCGATTCCGAATCCAAACTATCTTTTTCTCCTGCCGCATGTGAACGATAAAAATGAAACCTTTCCCTTCTGGAGCACAACGTTCTAAAAATACCCCGTAAAATCTGCGGGGGCCCCCAGCAGGGTTCGGGACGATTTCGCTTTTTCCGGAGTCGCCGGTGGGGGCGACCGGCGGGCCGAGTCGGGGCATAAACCACCTAATGGAAACAATATGGTGGGTCTCCGCCAGTCGAGACGAGGACTGAGGAAGAGGACAGGATTTAGAATGGAGGATCCCCGGATGGGCCCGTAATACCGAAAAACAATCGGCAAAAATGGGAAGGCACGGAAGGCACGCAATTTGGGTGGGTACAAGCCGGAAGGTTAGTTTGACAAAGGTATCATTCTGGTAAATTTTAAGATCTATTTAAAGCAAAGTTGATACCCGAAATCTGTGGTTTTACGCACCGATATTTTTTAAAAGGAAAAACATCGTTAAAAAGGGGTAAATACTGGCTTAAAAACTGTTCTAAAAACACGTAATTCATTGTTGGTCTCGTTATAAGGTATATTTAAGGGGCAAAAGGAGACCTTAATTGAGCATTGTTGTAGTAGTGATACCTTTTCATGGAAAAACAGAAATAAAAACTGGAAAATATGTGGCTTTTGCCTTGACATCGAGCCCTAATCCCAATCGCCCAATTGGCGACCGGGGGCTCCCACCCCTCTAGTACCCCGCCCTGTCACGCCCTCACAAGCGTCGGTGGTTCAGTGGTAGAATGCTCGCCTGCCACGCGGGCGACCCGGGTTCGATTCCCGGCCGACGCAAGTCTTTTTGCTTTTTGGGGGAATAGTAGTTCGCACGATGTACTATAAGTTGTAGGCCATGGTTTTTTATTTTTTCTTTTTTTGAACTGGTTGCCACCACACTACAATTTAAATAACTAATCCCCTTTGGGCATAAATGCTATCTTGATTTTTATGACTGAATCCTGCCTCTACTAAAACAAAAACAAAAACATTAGTAGCGTTAAATGGTTAGACAAATCTTCAGAGCCTTTATAGCACTCTAAAATGAACGGAATTGAATAAAATTCTTGCGTAATTAGGAAAAACTCGTCGTGAGGTCAACGATTTTCGAAGCACAATGGAGTCAAGACTCTAGAGGCCATTTCAATTAACGACCAAAAAAATCAGGGCGCACAAGGGTGGAAGATTCCGGAAGCAATGAGAAGCAGCAAAAGAAGAACATTTTCCGGGCCCCCACCCCCCCCTGACTGGGTACTTCCTTGCACGGGGAGGACGAGTAGTAGAGTGCTCCTAGTGCACCTATAGGCCTCCCCTCTTTGACGGCCATGAAATGACTTCTTGATGGCGATAAGCGGTGTCTTGAAAAGAGGGGTAAAAGTAGCCTTTAGGGCCCAGGATCAGCTCCCGTCGGTGGGCCATTCCTCACCCTGCGTCGAGCCCCAGAAGTGTCCAGCAGGGGGCTGGGGGGAGAATGTAAAAGAAACACCACGCACTGAAGAAACAATGCCCATATCTCGATGAGCACCGAGCACTTCACCTCTTGCTCCCGAAAAGGTGGTTGAAGCGACGAGCAAAAAGCCAGCGCGCTGGGTTCTACCTTAACTATGGCTTTTCGGATTTGGTCAGGTAGAAACCGGAACGCCTACTGGGTTAGCTGCGCAAGGCTTAACGCAAGCTTTAAAAGGGTTGGGTCCGTAAATTTCGAAGGAAGGGAATGAAAAATTTGCTAAAGCTTCCACAAAGATGGAAAAATGGACTACAAAAACTCGAAATACACGTTATGAAACGCCCCCTATACAGTATGCTAGCAAAAGGTAGGCGCAAGGGTGCTGCCTACAGGATTCACCCCCTCCCCCCTAGACGATCAGAAAAATTGTAAACTGTGGGTCGAAGGATTTAAATTGTTTGCTCCACGCCGCGCACGCAACGCGTACATGGAATATCCGCCGTAAATTACGGCCCGTAATCCATTACGCAACCAAGCTGCATCCCGATGCGTTCCGTGGCGCAGTTTCCGTCAAATTTATATGGAATCCAGGGCAACAAAATCTATAGCTATACCTTACACTCTCTGTTACGTATTTTGCGACGCGTGCTGCCCGCTTTTTAGGGTATAACTGGCTGTTAGCCATAGTTTACAAATTTCAATAAACAAAACATGGACTTCGCGTGGGTTGCTAAAGTAGCAGACGATCAAAAACAGGAACGTATAGTTCGTATACGTATAATAAATTTATAACCAATAAATTGAGGCGAAAAGAAGAGCGGGATGTAAATTAGTAATTTCCGGGAAAATGTCCTTTAACGGATGCTAGGGATTCCCCGGAGAGCTTCGGTAGGTCTAGGAATAAAATTTGGATTGGAATTTCTGTCTGTTTGACCGTCTGTCTTTATGTCTGTCTGTCTGTCTCTATGGCTGTACGCTTCTAGGCATCGGAAGAGGATTCTAGACATTCTAGACAGCCCCAGAAAAATTCACCGCCCGACCAATCAACCCACCCCCTCGGAAAACACGAAGAACCATCCGCACACAGCACATCAAAATAATTAGCAAATTTAGACTGGCTGCCAAAAGCCAAAACACAGGCAGAAAAGACAGACACCAGGATGTGCTGAATGGACATTATTAGAGGAAATAGGGTGAACTGTCTGAGCTGTCGGTTCTATTTGGGTATTTTTCGAAATTCCTGACTGAATATGGCGGGGATTCCATTTAAATACTCCAAGAGAATTCGTGCTATTTTTCTGGACTTTAAATCCCATCTCGGGCGGAGGAACTGTAGCGCAGCGGGGAGTACTGACCTACGGGTTTTTGAGGGTGGTAGAAAGTGATGATGTTGTGGCATTTTGGGGTTTGAATGTGGAAATGTGGAGTGGAGTTTGCAACCGATGACGAATTTAGGCAAAAACTTATTGAAAACAACTTTTGAACGTCTTTAAAAAA